AAAATAATAGTCATGTAAAATACTCTTTTTTGGTGGGGGGAGGGGGTTTCGAGACAGGGTTTCTTTGTGGCTTTGGAGGCTGTCCTACAACTAGCTCTTATAGACCAGGCTGGTCTTGAACTCACAGAGATCCACCTGCATCTGCCTCCCAAGTGCTGGGATCTTAGAGATAGAAATAATACTGCTTTCAGCTGAGTGGATATCATAGTCAATGGATAAAAGAAAATTTTATGTCGGGCAGTGGTGGCATAAAGTATTCTTTTATCCATTGACCATGACATCCACTCAGCAGAAAGCAGTATTATTTCTGTCTTCAAGATAAGTCTCAAATCTATTTGCCTTTCAGAAGCAATAAGATTGCTTGCCCTGAATCATTTATCATGTGAGTCCAGTAACTCAATACCCCCCAAAAGTTGTAATACACATTTTCTAGTCATCATAAGAAATACCTCCAAATCCTGAACTCAGGATATATGAACTCTATCATCCTAGAATGCTGGTCCAGAAACCTCAATATAGAGAAACTGAAAGAGTAAATAGTAATATTATTTATTCTGACATTATGAGTGCAGCATTGTTCCTTTTCATTTGTTTATTTTGTCTTTGTCATTGTTGTTGTTTTCATTTTTGCTCTTTTCTTTTTGTCAGTTTTTTGCTCACAGCAATAGTCTTCCTGATCCTCAGTTCCTCTGGTAACAATTTTAAGCAACATTTGGAGGTGGATAATAGGATTAAGAAATCCCAACTACATAATTCAGGTTGGTACAACTTTGTATCTCTCAAGTAAAGCCAAAATCATAATTTTCCATCAAGAAATCATGTTAGAATCTAGTTTCCATAATTCTCTAGCAATGCTTATGTGATTAGAAATTCACCCCACTCAATTATGTTCTTTCCCTTAAATATGCACAGTTATAATAAATACACATTATGTATATATAACATTACAAATGTAGAAAAACGTTACAATCATAGGGGAAACCTGCAGACAGTAAACTGATCATGTATTGGCTGATGCTAAAACTTGAAACAAAAATCCCTTTGCTAGATAACCTCGATTTGGGCTTTTAAGCTCTTCATTTGATTAAATGAGACTTGCTCACACTTCAAAAGGCAACACACACAGAAGGAAATTGGAAAGAAATAAATGAAGATATTTTCTTTAATGTGATAGGGGTTGTATCCATTTTAAAAATCTGTTAGAGCATTGGCCTAGCATATATAAAGGCACAGGATTCCATCCCAAGCATCACAGAAGTAAACAAATAAAACTATAAAAGATTTTGGAGACATGAACCACATCTGCACAACATTATCCAAGTTCCTACATTAGTATTTGGTTATCTACTGGACACTATTCGCTAGCCAAAGTGACTATATGTCACTATCACAACCATATGACAAGTTCTTTTGATTTTTCCCTTGGGGCATAATTAATATAACCCATGTAAAAGCCATGATAAAATCTATCAAAAGAGGAAATATTTCAAGAAGAACTTCTTGAGTTGAACAGTATGTAACTATTTTTAAATTTTCATCCATATGCTATTGATGAAGGAAAAAGTAGCATTTCACAGTCCCAGCAATGTGCCTAGTTTTGCCAATTTGATTATGAGAAGTTGGCATTACAAAGAACTCTCAAGATGGTCTGGGAATCATACCTTGAGATTTAAGCCATGATCATACAGATAGAAATTGAGTGACACCATCAATCAAGTTCACCAAAGAAGTGAACGTAGAGACAGGAAAGAAAAAAACACAAGAACTGATCCCTTGTATTCTCTAGGATTTGGAGACTCAGAAATGATGAGTAATACCAAAGCAGAACTATCACAACCAATGTTATAAGGGGAAAAACATTCTAGAATCAAAGGGAACATAAAGAAGGGAGCATATCTAATGTCAATGTTATAAGTTCAAAAACATTCTAGAATCAAAGGGAACATAAAGAAGGGAGCATATCTAATGCAAATGATCTAATGTAATAAGTGAAGCTATCAGACTAAATAAGAGGAGCATGGGCAGTGATTATTAAACCTGATAGTATGGATTACCTTTCACATGCATTTTTACTTGAACAGTGAGCTAGGAAGTCTGACAGGAAGAGAGACCAGAAATCATTGATGATTCAGGTTTTACTAACAAGGTAAACTAATAAATATCTTCACAGCTAGAAGATAGAGCTGTGAAGGGATTGTTTATTTATTTATTTAATTTATTTATTTGTGTAAGAAGAATAAAAGTAAGCATGTGTGAAAGTTAACGAGGGACCTTTAAAATTTAATGGGAAATGATGGTAAAGAAAAATGGAGAACTGAAAAACTTGACTTTTAAAAGGCAAAAAAGGATAGGATGGAATCCCTGTGGAGAGATTAGTTTTGACAGGAGCAGAAAAATACTAGTAATGGAAAGCTGGGTACCACTCTGTGAAGACAGACTGGGAAATCAGTGAGGAGATATGGAAATGCTGGCTAAACTGACTGAGTCTTACAGGACAAACAGAACCATAGGCATTAGAAATGGTTAATGATGATCGATCACATTATTTCTTATCAGATCACACCTGATAAGAAAACGAAGCTTTCACTCCCAGCACAATACATTATTTTTTATCAGATCACACCTGATAAGAAAACGAAGCTTTCACTCCCAGCACAATGACACTCAGTTCTCCTGTCCAACTCTACTAAGTACAACCATAAACAAGTAAATATAGCAAGAGACAACTGAAGGAGAACTCAGAAAGACAGAAAGTACAAGTTGAACCAAAAAAATAGCCAAATGGCATGGACAACCCTCCCCAATCTATAAAGCTGATTCTGGCAACTGTTTGTCAATGTTCAGCCTATCAAGGGAAGGCAGTCCAAGTAGGTTTCTTTCTTCACTGAACATCAAAGGTGTCCCAGCATGAAGAGTGGGGAAACTTTGTGGGTATTTTTCCATAGATGGACTTGAGTAATTGTTAACAGGAGCCAAAGGAAGAACTCTGTGCCCCTGCTGCCACTTTGCCCCCAATTACAGAAACTGGTAGCACTGAGAGGAGGAACCCTGTCATGCTCAACATTGTTTTAGTTCATAGGTGGCATAGCTGAGCAGGACTGCTGGTTACTTCCCTCAACTGGAAGTTACATGACTATGAAAGCTAATCTTCAAGGGGAAGTTTTCAGATTTCCACTCAAGGGTCACTGAGTCCTGTGTCTGAATTGTGTTGTATCCTCACAATAGGAACTTACCTTCCTTCCATTTCTGAGAGGCAACCAAGGAAAAAAATCAACAGTCTGTATGTTCAGGGAGTCACTTGGACAACCCTATCCAACAAGTGGGAGAAGGAGGTTTCTCATGCCTGATGTTAGGGTCTTTTACAGATGGTCTTTTAACTCTTAGAGGGTACATTGTCAGCCCAGATAGGAAATTTTCATTTATACACAGACTTACAAGTATTATGGAAGTTTTTTAACTCTATAGTAAATAGTATGATCCCTTATGATTTTTTGCAGACATACTTACTCTTATTTTACCTTCCTATGCCTTCTTTTGTATTTGTCTCTCCCACTCCATAAATGAGAATCTTATTTTTCCAATGTGGCCTACACATTATTTGCACCCTTCTATTTTTCTCTATATTTATTCCACACCCCGTCTTCTGACAATATCCATTTATACTTTCATGTTTTGTATAGTTATTATAGGTGGCTATAGAAAGATTTCTATCCAGGTGCCTCAGCAGAGAGAAAAGGTGTGACATTTGGCTCTATGGGTCTCAGTTACCTCATCATTCACTGTGATCTTTTCTCAATCTATCCATTTAAATACACATTTCATAATTTCATTTTTCTTTACAGCTGAATAGCATTTCATACTGTATATGAATCATATTATCATTATCCATTCATCAGTTGAAGGTCATTTACGTTGTTTTCACTTTTACTTATTGTGAATCAAGTACCAATGAATATGGCTGACAAAGTAAATGTGGAGTAGGATTTTGAATCCTTTGGGCATATTCTAAATAGTGGTATGCCTGAGTAATTTGTTAGATTTATTTTTATCTTTCTGAGAATTATCCACACTGATTGCCACAGCAGCTGCAACAGGAAAGAAATGCTTGTCTCAGAAGGAGTCAATGGAAAGATAATAAAAGATAGAATAAGTCATAACCAGAGGAAAAACATCATGTAAGTTGAATTGTGCAAATAAAACTCAAGGAATTTAAAGCAAATGAAATCTTCAAGGAAGAAGCTGACATTTCTTAAAGAAAAGCAACATAGGGATAAAGAGCTTCATAATAACAACTGTTGTCCATAGATGTACTATATAAATTGTATTTTAAGGAATAGTATATTACTTAAATAATAAGTATATTTTAAGTAAGTAAATAACCATGTATTTACTTCATTTCAAAATAGTACTTTTACATGCTATCAATTTGAGTGAAAATAACACAAGGGACTTTAAGCTGTGACTGCTTTTATTCATTGTCCAACCTGCATGCTCAGTCTTTTGGGATCCTTTTCCTTTAATCTGCTCATGAAAGTTCTTCCAGATAGCATATCATTTTCTAAAGAATGCACTTCTAGAATCTCCTAGCATATGATTGCTAGCTTAATTTAGAACCTAGCTATAGCTCAGGAGGAGCGGTTCTTTAACTATTTTAATGGTACCTTCTATTTTGAAAGTGGAGATCACTCATCCTTGGTCCTAGACACATCTGCGGGAATAGGATCTGTTCATTCAGGGTTTCTATCACCTGTCAAAGCAGAACATTCGAATTCTTTGTCTGAGATACCTGCTTCTGGGGAAACGGATGTTTTTTAGTAGATCCTTATCTTCAGTGGTTTGTTCAGAAGGTAGAAGTGGAGCTTCAGCAGGTGTCTCTTTCTTGGGGAACTCCTGAATAGGAGCCACATCAGTTTTGGAAGTCTGTTTAACAACAGGAGACTCTCCTGCCGGAGTTTCAGGTGGTAAAGGCTGAGCTTTGGCAGGAGCCCCTTCTAGAGCATTTATTGAGTCACAACTTCTTCTTCTAGGGGAAGACCTTCTACAGGATCTGTCTCAAGAAATGGGGGTTGAAATTCTGTGGGAGTCTCCTCATTTGGTGGAGATGGAACTTCTGCTGGAGTTTCCTCAGCTGGTGCAGGTGGAACTTCTACAGAGGTCTCCTCAGCTGGTGCAGGTGGAACTTCTTCAGGGGTCTCCTCAGGTGGTGGAGGTGGAACTTCTTCAGGGGTCTCCTCAGGTGGTGGAGGTGGAACTTCTTCAGGGGTCTCCTCAGGTGGTGGAGGTGGAACTTCTTCAGGGGTCTCCTCAGGTGGTGGAGGTGGAACTTCTTCAGGGGTCTCCTCAGGTGGTGGAGGTGGAACTTCTTCAGGGGTCTCCTCAGGTGGTGGAGGTGGAACTTCTTCAGGTGTCTCCTCAGGTGGTGGAGATGGAACTTCTACAGGGGTTTCCTCAGGTGGTGGAGGTGGAGCTTCTAAACTGGCTTCCTCAACTGGTGGTGGAACTTCTGCAGAGGTGTCTTCTATAAGGGTGTCTTCAGTTGGTTGAGGTAGAACTTCTATAGGGATATCTTCTGTTGGGGCCTCCTTGGTTGGTGGAGGCTGAGGTTCTACCAGAGCCTCTTCTGAACTGGCCACTTCTATAGGAGCATCCTCTGCTGATAGAGGCTGATCTTCTGCAGTAGACTTATCTTCAGGGGCTTCCTCAGTTAGAGGTTGATATCCCTCAAAGATCTCTTCTACAGGAAATTCCTCAACTATTATCTTAACAATTGCCTCAGAGACCTCTTCTTCTACTGCTTGCTTATCTAGTGGTGACTGAGCTTCCACAGGTACTCCTTTAGAAGCCTCCTCAGATGGTGGAGGTTGAACTCCATCAGTGGACTCTACAGCAGTAGCAGGCTCTACCTTGCCTGAGGTTTCAAGGACATTATCAGTTGTAAGATTTTGGACTTCCACAGGCATTTCTTCTGTGACTGTAACCATTTCAGTAGGAAGTTCTGAAGGAGCCACCTCGGCTCCTTGGAGAATCTGTTGATCATTAGTCACATCTGAAACAGCCCCTGGCACTGACGGAAGACTAGCATCAAAATGGGTTTCTTCAGAAGAAAGCACCTCAGCTGGTAGATCCTGTTCTTCACCAGAAAACTCCCCTGCAGTGACAGCCAGCTTAGCATCAGAGACTTTTTCAGTTAGCATTACCTCTGTTTCAAGAGGTACTTCAGGCAAGGAACCCTCTTGTGCAACAGGTATTGTTTCCTCCTTTGACTTATCCAGGGAACTACCTGGCATAGGCAAGATAGTAATTTCTAACTCACTAAAGTATGTCTGTTGTTCTTTGTCCACTTTATCTTTTGGGCAAATGTTCCATTGACTCCAGTCACCAGTACAGTTGGTCTGCTGAGCTCTGTCTATTAAGTGGGTTAAGGGTCTGCATGATGGAATGTCTACTACTGGAACACTCTGTGGCAATGCAGAAGCTGTTTCTCTAACACCATCTGGGGTTTCTTCAAGGGTACGTGTTTTATCAGTTAATACGGCTTTCACTTTTTCTTCCACAGCAGTTTCTGTCTGCAGAGACTTATCAGTCATTTCCATGCCATGCTTTCTCTTTATCCAAGTTTTCTGAAGTTGAGAAGACAGTCTAAGAGACTCATGTTCTTTTGCAGAGTAGTTGCCTTTGCTTCCAGAAATACTGCCATTACTGGCAGTAGATTTGGGGGCAGGAGGTTGTACTACAGCCACGGATTTCTTTTTTTCTGTTACATCAGTTTGCTGGGACTTGTCTACCATGGGTTGGCTGGGTCGTCTTCTCCTTCTAAATTCCTGCCTCCCTAACGAGATAGGCTGTTCAGGTTCATCACTTTTTTCCATCTCTATGATGAATGATATCCAAATTTATAGTCTTCAAGTAATTAATCATTAAGAATCATAAATGTACCCAGTAGCTAAGCCTTTGCCTTCCTTCATTGAGCTTTTCTACTGAGTTTAGGAAAAAAATAATTCATAAATTATTTCATTCTTTACTACCGTCTTGTTGGATCCCACCTTACTCATTCATCATCTTTCTTGTTTAGTCCCTGTTAAGACAAATCTCTCTTTTAGAAGTTTCCCTCAAGGGTCTGTGACATCACAGCCACTTCTCCTTACAAGGTTCCGGAAGTTATATTCCCAGCAGTTTCAAGCTTGGTGTATTCACATAAGCAATGACTAAAAGTGGGGTTTCTAGTTTTAAAAGATATCATGTTGAGAGAAGCACTTTTTCCCACATGAACAACAATTTAACTCCAACAACGCCACTGGCTGTTAAAAATGAAGTTTTTGAGTTTGCAACTTGGCTCTTTTCCAAAGAAATTATAATACATAACTCAGTATGCTGGAGCAGATTGTCAATTACTAGAGTTAACAACTGTATGTGTAGGAATGCCTCATAAATGGATGCTTCTGAGACATGAAAAGAAACTACTCCTCTTTGAAAGCCAATATCCACAGAAGCTCCATTCTTTTGCTTTTAACCTTCAGTGACTGCAGCCTTCTACTATCAAAAGATAATTCATGTGTTCGGTCTCAAACAACTTAAGGTATTTTTAATTTTATTTCTAATTATTTTAGAAAGTAGTTTTGCAGATGTGACACAACTGGGTCTAAATATATGTCAGGTTAAAAGAAAATGTTTTTAAGCATTCTCTATAGATTCTACTGAGCAACCAAATGGAATGACTGCTACAAGGGGGGGAAAGTCATCTATCTGGTAATGGATGAGACTGGCTTCAATGAGGGAGTTTGATATGGACAAAAGGAAAATGAGAGAGGGTGAGAAGAGAGGGTTTCAGAATATAATGTATACAATTTATGAAACTGTCAAATACCACTATTAACCGATAAAAATTTGTATTGAATTGGAAAAGAGAAACCCCACAGAGGCAAATTATGTGGTAAACCGGGATTTTATCACAGTGGATACATACATACATACATACATACATACATACATACATACATATCCTTTTATTCATATATAACACAAAAATACAAGTTATAGATAGATCATTTGCAAAAATACTATTCATCTGACAAAAGCATGCAAGAAAAGAATAAATTTAAAGACATGCAAAAATACTATTCATCTGACAAAAGCATGCAAGAAAAGAATAAATTTTTAAAATGTATTCACAGGAGTCAAAATAATGAACACTTCCTAAATAATAGCATTAATCTGAAAATATTTCAAAATTTTCTTTATTGCTTCTAGACAACATTAAAACAAAATAAACAATTCCTGTTGACATACACAGTAGTTTTATTGATGAGTCCTTTGTATCTTCAGCCAAATTCATAAAATGAAACCTAAGCCCAAAGGTTCTTCTAGAACCTTCTAGAATAAAACCATCTACAAAGTATGGAGACACAGGCCAACTGGCACATTGACTACTTTAGACTTCCAACTTCCTAGAACTCTGCAAATACATATTTGACAGCAACTGACTTTAAATTTCAAAATAATCAGTGAATATTCCCAATACAAAAAATATTTATTTATGATAAGACAATAACATATCATATGGTAAACATCTGTGATGATAGATATACTATTGCACATTGCATTCATATATTGAAATGTCAACATGTGATTTTATCTTAACCCATATATATGTGCAATTGCTATGTTAATTAAAAATAAAAATACATGAAGTGAATAAGAACTTTATCTTACTTAATTATGACCAAACACTTTTAGTATATTCCTTGTTTCTACTAGTAATAGTAAGCTCATAGCCACAAATGATCATTCATACACAATCAGTTAATGATTCTGCCTAAAATTCTAAACAGGCTTATGAAGCACTTCATGGAACTTTTTCTCATGATAATTTTCTTTTCTTTCTTTACCTGAAAATATGTTCTTTTTTCATGCAACATGTCCTGATTATAGTTTCTCCTCTTTTTACTCTTCCCAGTACCTTGCACTCTAGATCCATTCCCTTTCTGTCTCTCATTAGAAAAAAAGCAAGCTTCTATGAGATCACAGCCAAATGCGATAAAATAAAATATAATAAGATAAAACAAAAACCATCACATTGAGGTTGGACAAGCAACCCAATAAAAGGAAAAAAAGCCAAGAACAGGGACAAGAGTCAGAGACATGCTCATTCACTGAGGAGTCCCATGAAAACACTAAGCTGAAAGCTACAACATATATGCAGAGGACCTGGTCAGACCAGTTTAGGCTCTGTGCTTGCTGCTTCAGTATCTGTAAGTCTGTATGTTCAGTTGATTCGGGGGGCCTTGTTCTCCTGGCATCCTCCATCCCATCTGGCACATACACTCTTTCATCTTCTGTGGGGTTCCCTGAACTCTGAGGGGAGGTATTTGATGGAGACATCCTGGTGTGTGCTTCCAAGACCTGTTTCTGACTGTGGATCTCTATATCTGTTTCTGTCCACTGCAGGAGAAAGCTTTTCTGATGATTTTATGCTATTTCTTAAGGCCTACGGATGCTTTCACAGATGTTTCAAGTGATGACCTCATTACTCTCTGCTTAAGGCTTGGGATTTTACCCTTTTTTTCTTGTAACCTCATATGACTTAGCTCTTCTCACTTGATTCACTAATTATTAAACTGTGGATGTGACTTTATTTAGGAATAGGGTGTTGGCTGGGGATGTGATGATACTCCTTTAATCCCAGCACTTAAGATACAGGGAAAGGCAGATCTTTGTTGAAATCCAGCCTGGTCTACAAACAGGTTCTAGGGGTATCAAATTAAAATTCTAGTGTTATGGGAAAAATAATATTTAGACACAAAGATAAAAGATGGGGCAGAAAGAGGAGTTTGCAACACAAAGTAGGAGATGTCTGAAGTTACCACAATACAGAAAGAGTGATGAAGACTCTACCCCAAGAGAGTGCCTACCACTGCCACCAACTTTGTTTGGGATTTCTAGCCTTCAGGAAGGTAAGAAAATGTATCCTGTTGTTGTAACTCACTTTGGTGGGCTTACTTATGGGAGTTCTGGGAACTAATGCAGCATGATTCCATAGTTCCATACTTATGACTCCTGCCTTGCCTGATCTTCAGGTTGAATAACTGGGGCATTTATTTCAGACTCAAGACTGACAAGTTTTTTTGATACTGTGTGTGATATAGTCCCATAATCAAAGAACCAGGGGGATTTTCTGAAAGGCTTCTGCCAGATAATTTGCATTTAATTTTACCAAAAATAAATTTTCTGAATAGTATTTAATTTCATTTAGAATTTTAATGAATTTGAAAGCCATAATTTAGAAGTATCAGACTTGCTTCAAATTAATGTGGACCTAATATATAAACTGTGACCTATAATGCTTCATTCCTAATTGAATAGATAAGACAAGAGAAAGCCTAAAATAAGTTCCTGGATCAGTGGATGGTAAGGGCCAAGAGTATAAAATGTAAATCTCTGTGTACCTAAAGGTAAGTTAAATTAAAAGGTCAGGAGAAACCATGAAATTATGCCAATATATCACATAAAGATCTTTAATGTCCAAAGCACTTTAGAAATCAATGTAAAATTAGAGGCAATAGAAAACCAAAGACCATTAGTAAAAACAAATTTATAGATGAAAACAAATGACCAATAAATACATGAGAAAGATAACCAACAATCATACTTTCAAGAAACTCAAATTTTGAAAATAATTCTTTCCTCAAAAATATTTTTAGCATGTGTATATTCCAATGATATTTCAGGTTTTAGGAAAACTGAACAAAACAAAATAACATGGTTTCCAGCCCTCATTGACCATACCATTCTGTAGGAAAACATTGTATACATGCTTAACAAGAAATCTTCAATGAAGCAGTATGTGCTGGTGGGTCTGTAGGAATCATTGCGTATATGAACTCACTGAAGCTCTGACTATCTGCCTAAGATCTGCACAAGATCTTGTCAGTCAAAATTCCCAGCAGGAATGTGGTAAGGGTTTATGAAATCCCAATCCCTTTGGGTAATTGATGGCTTCTGGGAGAAGAAAAGTTGGTTTTCTGCAGGAATATGGTCCCTGAGAGACTACCCATTCTCCAGCAGAGTATCCTACACCTATGCACATTCAGGCAGCACTAAGGGAACTCTGTGGGTTTTAAAAAGAAGGGCACATGAAAATTGGTAGGGAAAAGTGATGTGGAGAGAGGGGAGAAATTAGAGGGGAAGATCTAGGAGCTGGATTTGATCAAAACACATGTGTGAAATACTCAAAACAAAAACATAGATTGTTAAATGTACTTTTAGGTGATGAAGAGAGGAAAGATCTGTAGAAAATGGCATGGAATTGAAAAACCATAAAGAGTGGGGGTTGTGTTAAGAAGCAGATACCACACTCTTGGAAATCGTGAAGGAAGGAGGTCAGGGGTTGGGGTGGCAGTACATGACATGTGCTGGAAGAAATTGATAAGGGGCATACTGACTTACAGAATATACCAAGAAATACTATTTTGTTTTAAACACCAGAAAGTGACTTCTTTCCTCTGTATTCAGATAGTTATGGGAAGGGAGGAATGAGAATCCCTTTGTACTATTGCACTGAAAATGGCCACAACTGTAGCAACCTAAATCAACACAGATGTACTACAGGTTAAGAGCCCAGGCAAAGATGAGCTGGGTTCTCTGATCTGATTCCCAGCATGCTAAATTGTGTCAGTTGGGAGATAAATTGTAACCCATGTTCAAAGCCTCTTCTGGCTCACTGGGCACTAGCAGAATGCTTCAGAATACCTCTACCCCCAGTTTTTTTGCTGGGAGACAACTGGAGTAGCTTTCAGCTCCTAGTAGCTGCCATCACATCCTGGTCAAAATAGTCACTTCACAGCATGGAAAGCTGAAAGGACAATCTCTTTTC